ATACGTGCGCATTGATTTCATCATTTTGGATATATACCTAAACATGAGATGGCTGAATCAAATAGTAGTTCAATTTTTAATTATTTGAAAACCTTCATTCTGCTTTCAGTAATGGCTGTACCAATTTATATTTCCACCAACAGTATGCAAAGATTCTCTTTCCTCCACATTCTCACCAGCACTTGTTATCGCTTGTGTTTTGTTGTTGTTAATAGCCATCCTAGCTGATGTGACGTGATACTTCATTATCATTTTGATTTGTTTCCTTGATGATTAGTGATGTTGGGCACATTTTCATGTACATTTTAACCATTTGTGTATCTTCTTTTGAGAAATGTCTATTCCAGTCCTTTTCCCATTTTATTAAAATCTTTTTTGGTTTGTGTGTTTTCATGCTATCAAGTTATTTGAGCTTCTTATATATTTTGTATATTAATAACTTATCAGATACATGGTTTGTAAATATTTCCTCTTATTCCATAGGTTGTCTCTTCATTCTGGTGATTATTCCTTTGCTGTGTAGAAGATTTTCGTTTCATGCAATCCCATTTTATTTTCAACTTTGTTGCTGTGCTTTGTGTTCATATCCAAGAAATCATTGCTCAGACCAATGTCAAGAAAATATTTTTTAAGGTTTTATTTTATTTTTTTAAGATTTTATTTATTTATTCAACAGACAGAGATCACAAGTAGGCAGAGAGTCAGGCAGAGAGAGAGGGGGAAGCAGGATCCCTGCTGAGCAGCGAGCCCAATGTGGAGCTCAATCCCAGGACCCTGAGATCATGACCTGAGCCAAAGGCAGAGGCTTAACCCACTGAGCCACCCAGGCGCCCCAAGAAAATATTTTTATATATTTATTGAAGACACTATTCTTTTCCAATTTTATGTTCTTGACACACTTGTTAATGATCAGTTGACTTCAAATGTGATTTCTGGGATATCTATTCTTTTCCATAGTTCTATATGTCTGCTTTTATGACAGTACCATGTTATGTTGATAGCTTTATAATATATATTTGGTTTTGCCCATAAGGTGACAAAGATTTTTTTTTCAGCTTTATTGAGGTATAATAAAAAAATAAAATTGTGTATATTTAAAGTGTACAACATGATTTTATATATATATATATATATATATGTTGGGGAATGATTGCCACAAATAAGTTAATTGACACATCTATCATCTCATACATTCATCATCTTTTTGTATGTCTCAAGAACACTTAATATTTTCTCTGAATAAATTTCAAGTATATAATAATACACTATTATTAACCATAGTTCATATGGTTAATACTATGTTGTACATTAGATTCCCTAGGACTTATTTACTTTATTACTGAAATTTGTACCAGTTCATGGGACCACTTCAAGGACTGCATTTGGGTCTGAGGTTAGTGGGGCTGTTACCAAGGGTACCTATGTTTGTTGCTTCTGCTGAGTTCCTGCTGGGTCCTGGTCTGGTCCCTGACTGAGAAGGTCTTCATTTGGACCATGATGGAGCAGAACTGCTCCATCAGTTCTGAAGTGTGCAGGACTGTTATAGGTGATGCCCATGGGTTTGGATCCTTGGCTGAGTCTTTGGGGCAGGCAGGATTACCTTGAACCATGGTAAAACAGCACTGGAGCTGAGTCATACATAGAGCAGCTTCAGGGATAGCAGTCGGGTCCAGGCCTATAACTGAGGTCCTGGATGAGTGTGACTCTTTCCAAGCCCCTTGGTAGAGGGGGCTAATGACAGGATTACAGGCAAGAAGGATTTGAGCCAAGTTCACAACAGGATGGAGCTTCTTCTGATCTATATCCAGGACCTTGGTCAGGGGTCCTAACCACCAATGAGCAGGCCCACTTCTCAAAACAGCCCTTCTCATTCTTGGGCTCCACTGAAGTTTTGCAACCTCCTACCTGGATCCCAAAATTTCCACAAAGGCACTTTTTTCCCCATGATGACTGCCAAATATTTGTTTCATGGGGAGACCTACTGTTCTACCATCATGTTGATGTCACTCGTCTCTTATTTGTAACTTAAATATATCTGATCACTACAGAAAAAATTTTATTGTCTATTTTTTAAATCTTAAAATGATGGCTTTCTTTTTTCTTACAGATTTATTTATTTATTTTAAAAGGTGAGGGAGGGGTAGAGGGAGAGAGTGAGAATCTCAAGCTGATTCCCCACTGAGTGTAGAGCCTGAATGGGGCTCAATCTCATGACCCTGAGATCATGAACTGAGCTGAAATCAAGAGTTGGACACTTAACTGACTGAGCCACCCTGGTGCACCAAAATGATGGCTTTCTAAAACAAATACAGGGTAAGGTTGGTTCAAGATGGTGATCTAAGAGGCTCTTAAGCTCACCTTCTCTTACAAACACACCAAAACTACACTTATATATGGACAACTTCTGAAAACAACAACAACAACAACAACAAAACCCTAAAAACTGGCTGAACAACTCTTATGCACAGGGAAAATGAGAGAAGACTCACATCAAGTGGATAGGAGAGGCTGGGACACAGTCTTACTATAAATCCCATGCCTACCTAGCACAGTGACCCACAGCTGGGAAGGAACTCAAAACCCAGAGCTCATCCCTGAGGAGTAAAGGGTTTGAACCCCACATTGGATACCTCCAATATTTAAGGTCTGCACCTGAGAGATAAGCCCATAAAACGTCTAGCTTTGCAAACCAACAGAGTTCATGTCCATGAGACTCACAAGGCTATAAAGAATCTGAAAAGAGGCTCTTAGAGGGCTTACATGCTTGGACTCACCCACCTTAGGGCCCAGTCCAGAAGCTCTCAATTGAGGAGCATTCAGACTTGGTGTGAAAGAGGCTCATTTGCTTGTTTTGGAGCATCAGACTGAGGGGTACACCAATGCTTTCAGACACATTTGGGGGCCTACTGGGGTGCTCTCTGGGGATGAAGACTAGAGATTGCCATTTTTGCACTCTCACTCTGCTTTGCTTCAGCTGATGGGCTTTATCCTGTTTTTGTTGTTGTTTAACTCTAGGCTTTTATTCTCTTTCGTTTTCTCTTTCCTTCCCAGAGGGTGTCATTTCTATTCTCCCTTTGCCCCACACCAGCCAGTGAGCACCATCCTCTGACACATTCTAGAGTGTATCTCACAGAGGGGAGCTTTTACACGCAACTTCTGCCCAGGTTTATATCTGATGCCCTGGTTTATGTGGCTGCTGCCAAGGAACCTTTACATCACCTAACTCTGGAAGCCAGTAGGGCTTATGTTCATGGGTTCCACAAGACTTTAATCAGTAAAATGTTCTTAAATGGCTATCACCTCCAGGGCACAGCAAGAGACAAAAGACCCTGGGGCTATTTTTATGTGGGGAAAAAAAAAGCCTATTAGCTTATCTTCAGAGCTGCAGCCTGAGGGTCAGGCTTTTAAATAAACACACATCTAAAGCTGACTGTAATATTTTCCAGAGATTTTGGATGTCAGACACTATCTTCACACTCTCCTTCTGCTGTGTTCCAGAATGCCAGTATCTCCTAGAGGGGAGCTTTTACACATAGCTGGTACCCTAGCTTTTACTTCTAGTGCCTCAGACTTTGCAACTGATACCCAGGAAATGTTCTTTGATCACCTAGCTCTGTGACCAAGGAGGTTTGCATTTCTTAGTCCCACAAGATAATGGCAATTAGAGAGATAGTTCTTGACAAACTACTACCCTCAGAGCACTGCACAGACAGCAGACTAAAATACACTCTCAATTTGTCTGTGCAGGAGACATATTGGCTTGTCTTGGAGCTTTATCCTGAGGGAAGGTTTCAGGTTTGGCCATGCCTTGGGGTCTATTGATGTGTTTTCAAGGAATGTAGGCTGATGCATGTCATTGTTGCATTCCCCTTCTGTCTCACTAGAGCTCACCAGTATTTCCCAGGCAGGAGCTTCTGTATTCAGTTAGAGTCCTGATTTTTGTGACTGCCACCCAGGGAACAACTCTAGGTAATCTAGTATTGGTGGCTATCAAAACTTACACTTGCAGTCCCAAGTGACTATGTACATTTGCATATTTAAAAAAATTTCTACTTGAAGATCTGGCTTCCAATCAGCCTGAACCTAGGAGCTGACTAACATCTTTCCCCTTGAGACACTATTGGGTCTTGAACTCTTAACTGCTAGGAGCCATTACAAATAATTCTTGGAAAATCCAAAGGTCTGAGAGACAACCAACAGCTAGGGCAGGATTGAATAAAACACACACACACAAAAACAAAAAACAAAAAACAAAAAACAAAAAACAAACACATTCCTTCAACACTGGGAGAGGTGGATATTTTATCTGATGCATAGAAATCAACAGAAATTTAATAAAGAAACAGAGGAATGTGTTCCAAATGAAAGAAAAGGATGAAACCTCATAAAAAACCTTAATGAAATGCAGACAAGTAATTTTCCTGATAAAGAGCTCAAAGTAATGGTCATAAAGATGCTCAGTGAACATGGGAGAATAATGGAAGAACACAGTGAGAACTTCAACAAAGAGAGAATAAAAGAAAGTACCAAATAGAAGTTGCAGGGCCAAAGAATACAGTAACAGAACTAAATAATGCACTAGATGGGTCCAACAGTAGACTAGATGAAGCAGAATAGGTCAGTGAACTCAAAGACAAGACCCTGGAAATCACCCAATCATAACAGCAATTTTTTTTAATTACAAAGGAAAGAGAGCTTAAGAGATCATAAGACAACACCAAGGGTACTAACATTTCTATCAGAGGTTGCAGAGGGAGAAGAGAGAGAGAAGAGGGAGAACAGGGCAGAAAATTTATTTGAAGAAATAATGGATGGCTGTTGCCATTTTTGATGATATGGATGATGAAGCTAGAGAGGATTATGCTAAGTGAAATGAATCAGTCAGAGAAAGATAAATATCATATGATTTCACTCATATGTGGAATTTAAGAAACAAATGAACAAAGGGGGGAGAAAAGAGAGTAAAACCAGAAACAGACTCTTAACTTTAGAGAACTAATGGTTACCATAGGGGAAATGAGCAAAGAGATGGCTTAAACAGGTGATAGGAATAAAGGAGGGCACTTGTGATGAACACTGGGTTTTGTTATGTAAGTGCTGAATAACTAAATTCTACACCTGAAACTAATATTACATGGTATGTTAAGTAACTGGAATTTAAATGAAAACTTGGAATTAAAAAAAAAAACTTTAAACAGAAAAAAAAATGAAGAAATAATGGCTGAAAATTGCCCTAACCAAAGAAAGAAAACAGACATCCAGCTGCGAGAAACCCAGAGAGTTCCAAGTAAGATGAACCCAATGAGACTCAAATCAAGACATATTATAATTAAAATGTCCAAAGTTGGGGCACCTGGGAGGCTCAGTGGGTTAAGCCTCTGACTTCAGCTCAGCTCATGATCTCAGGGTCCTAGGATCGAGCCCCGCATCGAGCTCTCTGCTCAGCAGGGAGCCTGCTTCCCTCTCTCTCTGCCTGCCTCTCTGCCTACTTGTGATCTCTCTCTCTCTGTCAGATAAATAAATAAATTATAAATAAATAAATAAAACATCAAAAGTTGAAGACAAGAAGCAAACCTTAAATGTGACAAAAGAAAAACAAGTTGTTGGGATTAAGAGAACCCCTGTAAGGCTATCAACAGATTTTTCAGCAGAAACTTTGCAAACCATAAAGAGCTGGCATGATAGATTCAAAATACTGAAAGAAAAACATGAAACTTAACAAAAAATAATCTACTCAGCAAAGTTACCATTAAAGACTTTTCCAGACAAACAAAAGCTAAAGGAATTCATCACTACTAAACCAGCCTTATTCTTCATGATAAAGAGAAAAGGTGTTAATTAGTAGCAAGAAAATATATGAAAGTATAGGGGTGCCTGGGTGGCTCAGTGGGTTAAAGCCTCTGCCTTCCGCTCAGGTCATGATCTCAGGGTCCTGGGATTGAGCCCCACATCGGGCTTTCTGCTCAGCAGGGAGCCTGCTTCCTCCTCTCTCTGCCTGCCTCTCTGCCTACATGTGATCTCTGTCTCTGTCAAATAAATAAAATCTTTAAACAAAAGAAAATATATGAAAGTACAAATATCACTGGTAAAGTTTAATATATAGTAAAGGTAGTGAAGTAAACACTTATGAAGCTAATAGAAAGTTAAAAGACAAAAGTAATAAAAATAACTACAATGATAGGAGGGGGGCAAGATGGCAGAGAAGTAGGAGACGCTGTTTCAACCGGTCCCCTACAGTGAGCTGATTATCTACCAGAACACTCTGAATACCCATGAAATCAGCCTGAGATGTAGGATTATACATTTCTAGATCTCTACAGCAGGCAGAAGATGCCAGTGGACAGGTAAAGTGGAGTGGGAACATCGGACTGATATCAGAACATAAACAAAAGGGGGAGGGAGCCACCAGAAGTGACCCATTGGAAAGTAATACACCAATATGAAAGTGCCCTGTAATTGGGGACCAGCATTAACTTCGAGTCTAGTTAAAAGCACTTGAAAAGAGCAAAATACCTTAAGAGGAAATTGGTGGAATCGGGTGGCTACGGGCACGGGCTTAAGCCCACAGACCCAGGATGGCCACTGCCGGTGCCATGCCAGAGAGAGTGCAGCGAAGCCCACAGGCCGTGGTCTATGAGCCACTGGCATGTGTGACAGCATCTGGGTGGTGGCACGCGTGAGAGAGTCTGGTGTGGATGCCAGCCAGCACTCTCTAGAACCACAGCCTTTTGCACTCTGCATTCGCACTATGCACTGGGGTCTGAGCTGCGCTCCACACCCTCTCCTGAGAAAGGTCCATGTGGGCGCTAGCTGGTGCTCTCTAGGACCTGTGAAAGTCTGAACACTTCCAGCCCCGGCCAACATGAAAATC